CTAATCAGTCTGCAGAAGAAACTGAAACGCAAAATTTTGTACATCCCACCACGTTTGAAAGCGAGACTTCACATGTAATTGTTAGAAAAAGGTCACGTCAGAAAAGATGGCACATTTTCCCCTGCAACAAGTGATCGCGATGAGACGGTTCAAAGTCAAGTTGCTGGTCAAACTTTTTTACTGGATTATATTTTACCGCAATATTGATAATTATTTAGTATATATATTTAAGTCCTTGGACATGCCAAATTGTTTATACTATGGATCTATGCATGCTACTTCTTTTGGCTGCTCCCTTCTTCAGGAGTCACCACAACAAACTCAGTGCACGAAGACTCGATAATTGTTTTTACGCCAGATGCCCTTCCTGACGCAACCACAGACCACTGAGCTACCACAGCCCTCTGTGGAGCAGAGAGCTGCCATGTAGGCCACCCAGGGGAGCAGATTGTGGGCCTTGCTCAAGGGCCCAGAGCAGGACAAATGAGGGTGGAGGCAGGTGTGGGTGTTTCACTTTTCTCACCCACATTTCTGATGTCGGTCCGGGGAGTTGAACTGGCGACTTTCTGATCACAAGCCCGCCTTCCCTAACATCTTCGCCATGTCAACGTTACTATGGATGTAAATTCTGTGCTTCTGAATCAATCTGAGTTTTTGTCAACCTGGAGTGCTAGTGTTGGTAGAGACAAAACAAGGTAAATATGTAGTCTGTGTCACGAAGCTATTGAAACAGGACAACCCATTCAACCCTTTGTCTTCCTTTGCTCATGCTTATTAATATGAAGCTGATTACCTTTAAATGTATATCCATATTTAGTTCAAAGCATACATTACAAGCAGTTAGTCAGCATGAACATCATTGTATTTTGTAATTTTGTCAGGGAGGCAGTATTTAGTGACTGCGCTAACATTTTTTTTCCCCTGCAGCACTTTCAGGTTTTGTAAAGGTTGTTGCACACGATTAAACAACAATACTACGACATGGTGGGATTGTCTGATAAGCAGTACCAAGTCATTCATGTGTTCTGGAAGCAGACTGCAAAACTAAGATGTAATTTGATCCATTAAGGTGGGGCACGAGGTTCCTCCCTCACATGAGGACAAAGGAGCTCTAGTGGCCTGTTTCCTGTGAAATGAAACCTAAACACTCAGGAACTCCCTCACTGTTTTCTTATTGGCTGCCTTCTGTAACAACAAACACATACAATAACATGAAATATCTGCAGGAACCTGCTCATATCAGCTGAAAGACTGAGACTACAAACATCACAATTTGTCAAACTGGTTTTATATGTTTGACTAATTTGTGTGTGAACGCACCGTGCATTATGCATTGCATTATTTATGGATCTTTAATCTGTATGTGCTCTGGTTATTTCCATAACTAGGTAGCTGTTTGCATGTTAAAGTTGGTTTCTCACTCGTTTCTTTCATATTTTTAGTTTATTTTCATGCATTTGAAATCACACTGAGCAGATCCTTCTCTGCTCCGAGCCATTAGAGGCTGGCATGCTTTCTACTCTGTATCTGAATCAAAACAAACAGGAAGGTCAGTGCGAGCCTCACGGCTGCATTCAGAGCTTTCTGGAGCTCTGACAAAGAGCTGAACCTGATCACTCTGTTAAAGAGTAATAAAGATCAGACAAAATCATTGCTGTGTATCAGCAACGAAAAGGTATGACATTTTGCTGTTATCAGAGTTACTAGTTGGACCTTATCACTTCCATTTCACTCCATTCAAAACTTTGCTAATCTGTTTACTTCCTTTTACACAGCATATGTTTCTTTTTTAAAATTTACGTCACTTTATTTTCCAACTTTCAGTGTCATTGATGTGTTTGCCTCAAAATGTCTAAAATCTTTAAAAAACCAAACTTAAAGACCAGACTCTAATTTGAGTTGTTATAATGGCCCAGAATAATAACAGCCAGATTTAAATCATGAAATGAAAGCTAATGCATCTGTAAAAAAAGAGTTTCCTTTACTCTGAAACGAAACTTATGTGTGTAAGGAAGGCTGGAGTGTCCAGTGTGGAGTGGAAACAGTCATTTAATGTGGAGTGGTGATCTCAGAGGGAAGAACAATGATAGTTTTCATTCTCTTTCAGAGTCAGAGTCAGTCAGAGTCAGAGTTTCTTTATTGTCATTCGCACCTCATGTGGTACATGTGGTGGAGCGAAATTATGTACATAGGGTCCCAGTTACATCCAACAATAAAATGTATAAGAAAAACAGTAACATCTAAGATATGAACTAAGAAAAACACCAACTAAATATACACTAAGCACTCATAACATAAAACATTGAACATCACCACAAACATGAACATGAGTCTGTGAGCAGATGTGCACGCATGAACACATCAACATTGAAACAGATCAGCAGCAACATGAAACAGATTAGCAGCAACATGATATGGTTTTTCACAGTGATTATTCTAGTTAGAGATTCATTATTTCCCAATAACAAGTAAATACATTTTTATTGTACATTGATTTTCGTTTAGATGCTTTTGTTAACAATCTAGTTCAGCAATATGTTTCTCAAAAAGATAAACATAAATGTTAGTTTTGTTTTCCAGCCTTGAGTGGCTAGCTGGTCAATTCTGTGTATTTTCTGTGCATGAACAAGACCAAAACAAACTTAAAAATACTATTTTTTCTTTTACAAGACATTTCCCATAAAATTAAATGAAGGAACATCAAGACAGGAAAAAATGAAAACTCTTTCCTAAAAATGTGTTTTCAGGGTCTAAAATAAAAGTAGAACATAAATCAACACATTTTGTGGACCAGTGCTTCTGATTTTTTTTTAGTTAAATTATAAAGGTTTCTCTTGTTTTAAAAGCAAAAATCATAATAAGGATTGTCTGTCTTGGAACTGTTGTGACATGTGCATCACTTCAGGCTTGTCAGGCTCTAAATCACACATTCATGTAAATGTACACTGTGCCAAAATTAAATCGTAATCTCTTATGTTATCATGTCAATCATGTGGCTTCTTGTGTTTGAATTTGGTGGATAATAAAGATTATGGAATGATCTTTCCAGATAATAGATGAGTGATGAATGACAGGAGTCTTTTTACCTTTCATGCATGTTAATATAAAAGTCCATCATAATGACATATTTCTATTTGGTGCCGTATGCATCATGCCACTTATTTTTTTAAATAAAAATACACTTATTCATGCCTGCTGAAATACAAACTTTTCAGTACACATTTTTTATTGTTATTTCATTAATGGTTTAAGGGTAATGATGCTTCATGCAGGAGATATTCTGTGATAGATATGCTTTTTTTATTCATCAGAAGCCTTTCCCCCCTTGGTTTTGGACGCCTCTTACTAAGAAGCTCCTTTTTGTTGAGTTTTAGCACCATAGTTGATGGACTTGTGGCTGTGTAATGTTTATTTTGCATATGTTAACTAAGAAGAAGGAAATAAGAAAAGAGAGTATGGTAGTCTACTAATGCCCGCTGAAGAGAACTTGTTGCAGACATTCGAGGCAGCAGATACACTGTGTCATTTAGACAGTGACCGGTCACTGCTGATAACTGCAAGGGTTGGTCCAACTCACTTGTATGCTTGCCTTTGAAGCCATTTTTTCTTAGAAAAGCAGACTCTGTCATATTTGGGAGGGACAATGAGCCTGTTTTTGGTCTCATAGGTCCTTGTGTGTGTGTTTGCATTCTCTTTTGTCCACCCACAGAGACTTGTCCTCGTGTCTGTGTATGCAAACAAAACTGCTCAGTGAAAAGGTCAACACGTGTTGGCACAATGACCTGCACCAAGGACAAATAAGAGACCCTTGCTTTGCTGGCTTTTCTTGAGTCCACTTTGTTTTATTGACATTTTGCTGGACACAGCAGTTGTTTTTGTTTTGTTTAAACCTACTCTTTTTTTTCTTTCCTTAAAAACACTACTACTTAGAACAGTACACCTGTTGCTGGATGGCTTTGCTAGTTTCTTGAGAAGTCACTGTTGAGTTAGGGCTGGACGATGTGTCCAAAACTTTTGTCATGATATATTTCTTAATTTCGGTCGATAACGATATCATTTCGATATTGATGTAAACAATATAAAAACCTGAGAAAAACTTTACAAACTGTACAGATAAATTAATGTTCACCTTTTATTTGTATTTAGCCTTCAAAAGAAATTTGAAATTGCCGTCAAATAAAGATAAAACTCTCAACCTTGTCAATATTAATAGTTTTAACTTTAAACAAGAACACAGCCTAATCCATGCAGCAGACGTCTGCGGCACATTTTTCAGCACGCTGAAACCTGCAGTTTATCGGATTTTAGATAGCCGAACCACTTCCATACCGCCAAATTAGCCTTTCCTCTCATCATTTATGTCATATCTGCTTTCTCTTCGCTTGTGAGACCTTGTTCAGTCACATTCTGACCGTCATGGGCACTCATTTTAAAACAAAAACTTGCTGCGTGTTGGAGCTTAGCCTAGCCTGCTATCACTGACTTCTTCTGGACTCGAGCTCTGTGTCGTGTACGTCATCACGCACTTATGTAGTTTTGTTGCAGCTTTTTCTGTTCGGGTTGAAGCGGCTGCCGGTTGAAGCGGCTGCTGGTTGAAGTGGCTGCTTCAACCCGAACAGAAAAAGAAATGTCTGTGAAACGTAATCATAGCATAATGTATATCGAAATATCGAAAATGTGCTTAAAACTCATATCACCTTTATTGAATAAAAGTATATTGTGATATATATATCAATATCAAATTCTTGTCCAGCCCTATGTTGAGTAGAAATGCCATCCTTTATCTACCATAGTTTTAACCTGTCAATCACAATGAATCTGGTTTATACAGCTACAACTAGAAGTAACTAAATTTCATCAAGATGTTGAAATCTGTAAATGATCATGGGATTTGGATGTCTGTTTTATGGTAATAACTGAAAACTTGTGTATTGCCTCCTAGTGTGATTGTTTTTACGACTTCAGCTGTCTCACAAGTGTTTTCTGCGCACACTTCACAGGTTGCACGAGGAGATCAAGGATTTCTACGAGTACATCTCTCCACGGCCGGAGGAGGAAAAGATGAGACTGGAGGTGGTGGACAGAATCAAGGGAGTCATTCACGATTTGTGGCCCAGTGCAGAGGTAAACACTGTTAATACTCTGTGGGGATTCTTTTTTTTTTTTTTTTTTACACGTACCACCCACAGTCGTCAGGAGAAGCTCCCTCACTTCAAATCAGTTGAAAGAACAGTAAAAATTATGGGTTACTTGTTAGCACCAAATACAATTGGGTACACTGACCAGGTTCAATGTAGTGACATCTGTGTTTTACAGCCCTGTTACCACAATTGGCTTACGGTGCAGTCGGGCTGAATGTGAAATTGGGCAACAAACTTGGGCCTGTGGTTCTTTTATCTCCCTGCACCTCGATAATGTTTGGCTCATGCTATCAGCACCACCTGAAGCTTTATTGCCTTTATTCCCTTGTCTTTGATCTTGCTGATAGAGCAGTGAATTTCTATGTGCATCCTGTTATCACACAAATACTCCTCCAATCCAAGACAGCTTTGTTCCTTTTACACTTTTGTTGGGATCAGAGGTAATGAGTTAATCAGTCATTGTGGTGCTTATTTCTGCTACTTTTGTTTGGTGTTTTAGACCTGCTAATAATTAACCATGACTAAAAGTTTGGCCTGAGAAAGGCATAACAAGAAAAAAAAAGCAGCTAACTTTTGTGACCACATGAAATCATATCAGAAGTTTTCAGGACTTCATTCACAATCACAGCTTTACAGTCAGCTTAGACATGAACATGTGACCTGGCTGTAAACCAGAGTTTACACTACTTGATGTAGGGAAGAGGTTTAAGGGAGTAAAACAAGGGTCAGGGCTTAATTCTATTTGTGCATTGCAGCGTGGGAGGTTGAAAGGAAACGTTGAGGATATTTTATCAGTATACAGGTTTAAGAGATCTGTGGTTTAAGGGTTATTTTTGTGGTAAACATGCTTGAAGTTTTAGTTATAAGATTAGGACACAAAACCAGCTTTGGTCTCTGATTATTTATGTACAGTTTGAAGAACAAGTTTTGTAAAGCAGAAACATTCCATGGGAAAATCTGATAACACCACTTTTATTTTATTTTAAATTGACAGTCCATTTCATGTCATTGCCTTTCAAGAAATGTTATGTTTAATAGTGTTTTTGTATAAATTAGCACATTTTTCTATCCTAAAAATTATTCCTATTCATGTGTTAACTAAAACGTTTTATTTTATTTTTCCAGGTCCAAGTGTTTGGGAGTTTTAGCACAGGCCTTTATCTACCAACAAGGTGAGTTTTCCAGTTTTTCTTAAACAAGGAGAGAAATTTAAATGTGCAAACTGTGTCTTATCTTCGCCAAGTTGGGCTGGCTCCTTACCAAAAGTACTTGACTTGCTCAGAGTTTCCCACATAATCTAAATCTGCCTGTATCTCAACCAAACAGGGGTGGAGTTTATAAACTAAAACAAACCTAAGAAAGGAACTGGGAATGTGCTGAGTTTATACACAGTCACTGAGAAAATTTGAATCAAAGAGTGGTTCTCATTTTTCAGTTTACTTACATCATCAGCTGTTGTGCTGTTCCGTGTTCTCTGCCATTTGCAGAACAGACTGTGGTCAGATCAGCTGCTAACTGCAGTCTGTTAAACTGAGCCCCCCATAGCTGGACTGTGCCGGTCACCTGAACTTTATGTTGAATGCATCATATCCAGATCTTGGTTCAGCGAGCACAAAAGTAGATCTATGATCTTTTTTTCCCAAAAGTTTCCAGAGCTGCAGCATTTATTTGGTATATTATTCTTATAATTTCAGCATTAGGATTCTAGCTTCTTCTTATCCTGTCATGTTTTGTCTAAAGGAGTGACCCAAACACGATTTGTATAATGTAAGATTTGCTTATTTTGTTTTTTCTTTTTTTTAGCTTTGAGAGTAGCCTCCACTAGTGACAGACAACTAGAGTGCCTGCTTCTTTGTTGAACAAACATGTCTCCTATTGGACTCCTGGAACTGTACAGAATAGAAAAACAGCACTGTGTTGATTCTTGATTGAATATTGAGGTTAGATGAGATGACCGTACTTGAGGAATCTTTCTAGAGACAGTCATTTTACCTGTTATAAGGATATGTAAGCTTGTATAAATATGTATGTCTTATTATTTCTGGCCTCTTGTGTTGAACATAATAAACGTGATAGAGGTGATTAGAAAATGTACTTTGAACGTTTGCAACCACAGTCAGAAGTTAGTTTTCCCACTAGAGGGCAGCAAAGTTTTTTGCATTTGATATTTAAAAACTGTTTCACTTTATAGTATAAAAATCCAACATACAGAAGATAATCAAGGTAAACATAGTTTGACGAATGCACAGTATACATTTGTTTTTGTAATCTATAGTAACCGTATGAGTCAGAGAGGTTTTATTGTAATTGCAGCTACGTACAAGTACATATTGAAATGAAACGGCATTCCCCAGGATCACGGTGCAACATAGAACATAAAGTGCAAAAACAACACAACACACAGTGCAGATACACAACAGTACAATATATACAAACAGACTTATAATAAATTAATTAATTTAACCTTTATTTATACAAAAAGATATCTAATCTAAACATTCTTCTAATCTAAAAATAAACACTGAGAGAGTTCTTAGGTGGTGGAGATGTTCTTCTGGAACTATTTACAGCCTGTAGTGGATTATTTAATCTGAAGTTGATTGTGTTGATTTCATGACTTTTTTTTTTTTTTTTTTTTTGTCTTCCGATATCTTACAAATACGTTGGCATGGGAGAATCGACGCAGTCACACTGTGTATTCTGTGACGTGCCCCAGCTTGCAGAAGAATGAACGTTATGCTCCATCTTTCTCTCCCTGACAGTGACATCGACCTGGTGGTCTTTGGGAAGTGGGACACTCTTCCACTCTGGACGCTGGAGGAAGCTCTTCGAAAGAGAAATGTTGCAGATGAGAACTCCATCAAAGTTCTGGATAAAGCAACGGTAAGACAATATTTCCTTAATGACTGAGGTTGGTTCTTAACATTTTGGATCATAGTTTAAGTAGAATAATTAAATTAATGGATTCTTTAAGTTTGTATCTGTATGTTCAGACTCAAATTAGGTTTAACATGTTTTCTGAATACAGTTGTATGCAAACCCTGTTCCAGCCAGAGCTTGAGTGATTTTATTTTATTTCACGTTTGTTTTCAGGTTCCCATCATCAAACTTATGGACTCCTTCACTGAAGTGAAAGTTGACATCAGCTTCAATATGACGAGTGGAGTTAAAGCTGCTCAGCTCATCAAGGAGTTCAAAGAGGTACTATACTCAGTGCTACTGTAATGATTTTTTAGAGTCAGTTGTGTAGTGTTTGGTTTTTACAAGTTCACTTTTTTTATTCAAGTTTAAATTTCTCATGCATCCCTCGTAAATAACACCTTTTAAATTTGTTCAGTTTGTACTACAGCTTATTTTATGGCCTCTGCAGGTCGTATAAAACGCACTTGTGAACTTTATTAACATTTAACAACACAGGATTTATTTTCTAACATATTTTAATACATTGTGTGCAAAGCAAAGAGTACCTGCTAAGCGTTATTGCTAAGGAACGTGAAAAGAAACAAAGTGTTTTTAATTTAGGCAGCATTTGAATTCAGGGACTTTAAATATTTAGGCACCCATAATCCCTGACTTTTTTCTTAGGTATCTGTGATATTTGAAGTATTATATGTTCTTTACCATTTCTTGGATGTGTTTGTCTTTTTTTTGTCCATAGAAATACCCAGTGTTGCCTTACCTAGTCCTGGTGCTAAAGCAGTTCCTACTGCAAAGAGACCTAAATGAGGTTTTTACAGGTGGAATAGGTTCCTACAGTCTCTTCCTCATGGCTGTTAGCTTCCTGCAGGTTAGTGCTACAGTTTGATTTTCTACATACTTTCCCCTTCATTTATATATTTCAGTTTTAAAATTCCATTCTTTATTGCCTTAAGGTACAAATCAAAAATTTAAAACAAAAGAACAAGTGATGGCAGTTATAGTTGAAAGTTTTTATATACAGTAGTTCCTCGCTACTTCGCGGTTCGTTTTTCGCGGATTCGCTCTATCGCTGTTTTTCAAAATATGAATGGACATGGCACACGATTGGCTGATTGATGGACAAGCCGCATGATTGGATGAACTTTTTTTTTAATATAAATTATTTTATTTAGCACCTGCTGCATCTTTGTGTAGCACACAGCTGCAGAAAAAGCTTCCTTCTGCAGCTGCTCAGCTGTTCTCCATGCAGAGCGGAGAAGTGGGCGTGGCCACTTAGAAATTATGGAGGGGTCTGAAATGTTCATCTTAAGTGCATGTCCACTGTGAGACAATCTTTAAAAAAAAAAAAATCCGGAAATCACAATGTACGATTTTTTAATTATTTTTTTATTATTTTTTAATTATTTTTTAATTATTTATGTGTTACTGCTGCAACTAAGTATTTGAACACCTGCCAATCAGCAACAATTCTGGCCCTCAAAGACCTGTTAGTTTGCCTCTAAAAAGTCCACCTTTACTCCACTTCTTATTCTAAATTAGAAGCACCTGTTTGAGGTCGTTAGCTGCATAAAGACACCTGTTCACCCACACAATCAGTAAGACTCCAACTACTAACATGGCTAAGACCAAAGAGCTGTCCAAAGACACCAGAGACAAAATTGTAGACCACCACAAGGCTGGAAAGAGTTACAGGGCAATTGCCAAGCAGCTTGGTGGAAAAAACATCAACTGTTGGAGCAATTATTGGAAAATGTAAGAAACTAAACATGACTGTCAGTCTCCCTCGGACTGGGGCTCCATGCAAGATCTCACCTCATGGCGTATCAATGATCCTAAGTAAAGTGAGAAATCAGCCCAAAACTACATGGGAGGAGGTGGTCAATGACCTGAAGAGAGCTGGCACCACTGTTTCCAAGGTTGTAATACCCTAAGACGTCATAGTTTAAAATCATGCATGGCACGGAAGGTTCCCCTGCTTAAATCGGCACACGTCCAGGCCCGTCATAAATTTGCCCATGACCATTTGGATGATCCAGAAGAGTCATGGGAGAAAGTTATGTGGTCAGATGAGACCAAAATAGAACTTTTTGTTCTTAATTCCACTCGCCGTGTTTGGAGGACGAAGAATGAGGAGTACCATCCCAAAAACACCATCCCTACTGTGAAGCATGGGGGTGGAAGCATCATGCTTTGTGGGTGTTTTTCTGCACATGGGACAGGGCGACTGCACTGTATTAAGGAGAGGATGAGCGGGGCCATGTATTGAGAGATTTTGGGGAACAACCTCCTTCTCTCAGTGACAGCATTGAAGATTGGTCGTGGTTGGGTCTTCCAACATGACAATGACCTGAAGCACACAGTCAGGATAACCAAGGAGTGGCTCTGTAAGAATATCAAGGTTCTGGAGTGGCCTAGCCAGTCTCCAGACCTAAACCCTGTAGAAAATCTTTGGAGGGAGCTCAAACTCAGCGACAGCCCAGAAACCTGGCTGATCTAGAGAAGATCTGTGTGGAGGAATGGGCCAAAATCTGCTGCAGTGAACCTGGTGAAAAACTACAGGAAACATTTGACCTCTGTAACTGCAAACAAAGGCTACTGTACCAAATATTAACATTGATTTTCACAGGTGTTCAAATACTTATTTGCAGCAGTAACACACAAATAAATTATTAAAAAATTCATACATTGTGATTTCCGGATTTTTTTATTTATTTAGGATATGTCTCTCACAGTGGACATGCACCTAAGATGAAAATGTCAGACCTCTGCATGATTTCTAAGTAGGAGAACTTGCAAAGTCGCAGAGTGTTTAAATACTTATTTTCCTCACTGTATATATATATATATATATATATATACCACTATCCCTACTTCGCTGTTTTTCACTTATCGCGGGGCTTCAGGGTACGGATCCCCCCGCGATAAACGAGGGACTACTGTACAGCAAATATTTTATTTTCTCTGTCACCCGTTGTTGATCAATGATCATACATTTTAATTTTTGCTGGCTTTTAGCTTCATTATAGAAAGGATGTGTCCAGCCCCAACATCAACATCGGTGTTCTGCTAATTGAATTCTTCGAGCTCTACGGTCGCAACTTCAACTACTTGAAAACCGGCATCAGGATTAAAGACGGTGGCTGCTACGTTGCCAAAGATGAGGTTCAGAAGTGCATGATGGATGGATACAGGCCCTCGATGCTCTACATTGAGGACCCTCTGCAGCCAGGTAGGACCGTCACACAATCACACAGAAAACGATGAGCTGGGGTCACACTTACTGACCGTTTTTTTTTTACTGTCTTGTGTCAAACAGGTAACGATGTTGGCAGGAGCTCATATGGTGCCATGCAGGTGAAGCAGGCATTTGACTATGCCTATGTGGTGCTCAGCCATGGTGTGTCTTTGGTCGCCAAGTATTATCCCAATAATGAGAACGAGAGGTAAGCAGTTAATTAAATGAACTTGTTACTCTTTAAAATTGCATGTACACGCAGGAGTAACGGCTGTTTTTACTGTTCCTTTTCAAAGTATACTTGGTCGGATAATCCGAGTAACTCAGGAGGTGGACGAGTACAGGGAATGGATTCATAAGAGATGGGGGAGCCCATCTCAGAATGATCCTTCACTCAACCGTATGTTCCATCTCAGATTTGTTAAACATTGTCATTGTAGCAAAGATTTTACTCGTCTAACAGATGTCTTTTCCTTGCCTTTGCAGGAAATGATGTCAAATTGTTTGAGTCTAAGCAGCTCGATGAACGCAACAACAACTTCACAGATGATGAGGACGGTGTTGTGGTTGTGCCGTCGGCTCCTCGCAGCAAGTCCTCCTCCAGCACCTCTTCTCCTCCCTCTTCCCTGCGCTCCTCGCCTTCTTCCTCTCCGCCGTTGCCGTCTTTAACATCTTCCAGTGACGCGGTCAGTGCCTGCAGCTGCAAAGACATTTTCAGGCTGATGACTGTCCTGGAGATATCTAAAAAAGTTAAATCTGGTCCTCTGGACATCCTTTTTGGATGTCCAGAGGACCAGATTTAACTTTTTTAGATTTTTCTACCTGGATTATTGAGCATGCATCAGGATGTCTTGGAGATAATCTTTGTGTAAATCTCTTCCTTTTTCTCAGGACTCTGATGGCACACCGTGTAAAACAGCAAAGCAGCAGTCTGGCCAAAGCTCCAGTACCCACAGAGAAAAGTCTGCTGTGGTTAGTAATCACCACACACAGAGCCACACTACCAGCACTCCATCTGCAAGCAGCAAAGGAGGAAAGGTGTGTATGCATCACCGTGCAAATGTCAAGCGTCACCTCTTGTTTTCAAGAAGTAATGCATATTTACATTGCTAGATAGTCTTGATCTATGAGTGGCACTTTATGAAAGTCTTTCATACATTTTTGTTAGTAGCTTCCATTTTTATGTATTTTCAGCGCAGCTCTTCCAATATGATATTTTTGTAGGGGTGCTATTAATTTGTAATCTCACCCTTAAAATGAGCTCCTAAAAAAAAAAAGAGAGAGAAAAGCAAATATCCTACAAAATGAAGAACTGCCAAGTGTTTAAAATGTGCCAAGTTTCTCTGGCTGGTTTTCAGCTCATAGTTCTTTAATCACCTTGTTGGTGTAGAGATTTATGCAATCTGTTTTTCTCATCAAACTGTTAATTTGAGTAAATTCAGCTAAATAAATTAGAACAAATTGTGTCTTTGTGACGAGCTGCTGGTAATAAAGTGGCTAAAGTTTGCATTTAAAACTGTTTCTTTGCCAAGTTGTCTGTTACACGCACTGATCCATCTTTTGAGTTTTGGAGCCTTTTTCATACCCTCATTATTCACAGGGCATTGGTGACTGAATACATTTAGAAAAGTCATTCAACACCTAAAGAAAATCCTTAATATCTTTGGAAAATGTGAAGAACTATTGATCAGAATCACTTTAAAAGATTACAAGAACATTAGACTCTTTTGAAACTTAATAATTAAAACCGGTGGTTGTGCTTCATTTCCAGGCCAGGATGTCTCGCTCCAACAATAAGAGCAGCCACCACGGGCAGCAGAACTCCTTCAGCGCCAAAAGTCATCCGAGCAACAAGCCACACCACCGAGGCAACAGCAAGAGGAGGAAAAACCTGCGAGACTCTACAAAGGAGGATCTTTGCAGATAGGACTCTGCTAAACCACGTCTCCAACAGCCCCCCCCCCCCCCCCTCGTCTGCAGCTGACTGACTGTACTGTTGAAATTCTGCTGCCACACTTGAGCCTCGGAGGACTGTCAGTAGTTTGAAAACTGAACCTGTCTCCCGTTTTCAAGGCAACACACATTTTCTAAACGAAATAGGAAAAATATAAAGTGTTATTGAAATTAGGGTTAATTCCTTGGACCTGAACGGAATCACAAACTATAAAAACAACAAACAAACAAAAAAAACCATCTGCTTCCTGACTGCTTCTTTTAACGGAGAAGTTTTCCTTTCCACAGCCAACAGCCTCTTGTGTCTCCTGCTGTACAAGATGAACTGGTTGATGTTTTGAATCAACGCTGGAGCAATATCTGGAACTGCTGGCTCAAAAAGGATTGGATACTATCCTAAAAAACTTAAAACAAAAAAATCAAGATAACAATAAAAAGGAGAGAAACATTTGCTAAAATGTAAAAAAAAAAAAAAACATGTACTCGACCTTTGTTTTTCTTAAAGCTCGTCACTTTCAAATGCAATCAGTAAGAGTGGGACGTAACTTATGCATGACATTTTTCTGTTGAGTGACTGTTTTATGTCTTAATGAGTTATATATATGACAAATTTTGTACAAAAAACAAGCATAAACAGGTTAAAAACACAAAGAAGCTGTTTCATATGACCTTTTTACAAGATACACCGATCAAAGTTGCACATCTTGTTCCTGGCTGCCGTTCGGCCAAAAATCCAGATGTTTTCGTCCCATTGCCAACAAAAATCATCAGCATCTACTTTTACTCCTGACTACTCCGTTTGTGCAGCGATGTCCACCACTCAGTCGTGAGTGAGCCACAGCTCACACAAAATTACATATACAACAGAAAGGAGCCGTCCTGCTCCGTAGCACAGCTGCACCAGTGTAGAGGCTTTAAGACGACAAGTTTAAATATATATATTTGTGGTGAAAATGGTTTTATTGAAAAATCCTACACTTGAAAACGTGTAAACGATTAAACTGTGGGGAGATAATCTGTTTATTTGGTAATCTGCCTGCTACAGAATCATTTGTATTTGTTAAATGTATTTATTTTTTTAATAATGATCTGAACACAGTATGGATAAATGTAATATTAACATTAGAGCCCCTATCATTGACTCCTATATTTGAAATAAGGTATGTAGTAGAGAGGTGGAGTAGAAGCTAGTGTGTTCACGTTAAGCAAAATATTGTATTGATCAAACTGTTCTTTTTTTTTTTCTTCTTTCTTTTGAGTGACCAAGTTACTTCAGAAAATTTAGGAAACCATTTTATGGTATATGTGGCTGGTCTATTTACTTTAAACTTTAAAAGGGAGTTACTTCTTTTATGTTTGATTTTGTTGTCCCAGTATACAAACTAATCACACTTAAAAAATCAGCTTCCTTCTCTCATTGCAGTACCACAACCAACCTGTAGATGGGGCTACCACCCTAAAGTCTTAACCAGCGAAGCGTTCAGGCTTTTATACTGCATCTGAGTAGTTTAATTGTTGTTTTGGATTCTTAATTTGCTCATATCTCAACAATGGGCAGCTGCACAAAGAAATCCTGTTAACATGCATGCTTGCTGGGAGCGAGTAACACCAAAGCACAGCTCAATCCTATTTTCTAGTATTTTCTGCCCAAAAATCACCCACAATAATTGGCTAAACCTGCCTTCATTGGCTTCAGATGCATATCAAAGCACATACGAGTCTATTGTTAAATTTAAAAATATATTTTTTAAAGTACTTTCCTGTTTTTTTTTTTTTTTTAACAGGTGTTGCAGTTGAGGTTAAAATACTGTAAGAAATGACAGAAATGAGATGGTCGATCCATCTGAATGTCCACATATCCACCTCTTTACACTTCAGAAAGGCTTTGAACTGTACTCTTCTGAAACTGTGTTCCTCTACAGCTATCACAATTCATGCAATAAAAACTTTACCATTTCACTTCCTGTTGAGACAAGTCTCTGTTCTACCCCGGACTTTTATTAGAACGTCCTCTCTCTGTTGACATTAGTAATTTTGTAAACTGTTAAAGGTTTATTTTGAGCATTTTAGTTGGTTTGGAAATAATGCGATGCTGCCAGATGTCACACTCAGAGTTTGTGTTATGAATGACTCCCAGCTACTACCATGTCAAATTTCAGCTCAAAATTCACTGAGCTGTTTTTGTGTTTACTAATTCCAATTGGCTACAATGACCATCTTGAAAAGGATTTGTCTCCAAAAGTAATCAGTTGTAGGTGTGCATATTTGATTATGAAACTTTCAATTAAACCCATTTGGTAGATTATTTGCTGAACAGGGGTGTCACCAAATGGGGTGGCTCCCCCCTAAAATATTGGTGCCCATCTTGTTCGCCAGATGTTTTTATTCTCTCGAGTCCCAAGCTTTTGCATAGTGTGCATTTTTAATTCCCAGCTAATTAGGATTAATATAACCTCAAACAAAAACACAGTTTTTGAGCAGTGTCAAAGCTGTTTATGTAAAATTAGAATCAAAACTCAAAAGTTTAGTCCATCTGCATATATGGACATTTGATGTGACGGTTGTATAACTCCACATCTTACCATTTCTGGTCTCTGCACATCACATAATCAGTCATTTTACCTGCAAAATAATACACCAAGGTACATCAGTCTACAATTCTTTTACTCTCACATATTGACAAAGTTTCCAAAACACTGTTTTACAACATCACAATACAGTTAATGAAACTCTGTTATGGCTGTTGGTTTTGGTGTGCCACCCCAGGATTTTCAGATTTGATATTTTTATGTAAATGGCTGTGGCGGCCATCTTGAATTGATATTGTTTAATCAGTTGTATTACCTGAAAGTTGAATTGAAATCCGTCCAGTGGTTTATGAGGTATTTCGCTAACACGCACGAGGGCTATTCAACTAAACTGCTCAGGGGACACAGTTTCTGAGAGCCAGCAGCTCAGGGGCCAGACAACCAGCGATTAAAGTCATTATGTAAATAACCCGAGTATTACAATAATCTGTTACCTTTAAATTGTTTTTTTTTTCCCATTGAAAAATAAATGCAATAAACAGAACCCAAACCCAGAACATCCCCACCCCCCAAAAAAAAAAAAAAAAAATTATTATTATTGTGAATTTATTTACTAACTCATTGGTGGGCCGGACTGAAGTCACTCGCGGGCCGAAAGTGGCCCGCGAGCCGCTTCTTGAATAGCGAGCGACAACTTGAACGTGAAGCTTTTTGACGCTGAGCTCAGTGAGGGGCGTGGCTGTGACGGAGGAGGAGCTCGGATCGGCGCGCGCGGACAGCTGAGGAGGAGCGCGAGGGACCTTTAACACGCGCTCTCACAGCCTGCGTCTGCTGCGGTCAACGATGTAGACTTATCCCCGGGAACGAGGCTGCCAGGTAAGATGCTGAACTTTCTACGAAAGTAGAAATCATTTAATTTCCGTGAGACCGTGCGAGCTGCGCGCGCTCACCGCTCAGACGGTCTCGTTCCTGCTTTTTGCTAACCGCCACCTAAAAATGTATATATTTTTAAAAAATGACCCAGAAAACTTCGCAGCCGACACGACAACGTCAACAAGTCTTTAAGCTAGAAGTTCAGCATTCTTTACGACACCTGGGTGTTCTTGACCACCAAAACCAAAAGTTGAATTGGTAAATAAATAAAAAAAAATCATCTTAACTTCTGTGGAAACGTCGCTAGTCTCTAAAGAAAGTGTCGGAACATTCCCCTCTTTAAGTTTAACCAGCTCCTTGCTGCCTTCAGGGCCACCTCGTATTTCTCACAAATTAATCGTTTTCTACTCGGACAGTACAATGAAATGTAAATGTTCCCCTTATCCACTGTTTTTTTTTTTTTTGCCTGTGACCCTTACAACAGATAATAACCAAACTATTCTCAAGGTCTTTAGTTCCTTCATCCTTATATAGAGTCAAATGAATGCTTCTTCAGCAGTGCCTGCACCCCTTTTACTTTAGATTTAACTCATTTTGGCCTTTTTGTTATTAAAAGAAGATAAGTTTGAGCTAAATGTCGCTATGTATTCAGAACACAGAGCAAAAATAATTATTTGTGTCAGCATGTCATAGTGGTTGATGGGTTTATTGCTTGCTTGGAGGTAAATACATGAAAAACTTGTGGTTGTTTTCCAAATAAATAGTGGTTGTGTCAGGCTTATACTGCTAATAATTATATATTGTATGTGGCAGCCTCGTCACGCTATAGTTGTCAATAAAATGTACAGTTTTATTCCTGTAACAGTTTGCATACCCATTTCATTGTGATATTACATTAGACTGGCTACAAGTGCTTTTAAATTATAACAATTATATTAGATTTTAACATTAATTTCTTTTGTTAGAGATGCAACTCAGAGGTATCTCTGTTTCATCCCTGCACCAAAGAGATGTGCTGCTCAAAAGAAGGTTCAAGACAGAATAATAATAATAAAAAAAAAATAGAAATAGGTTTATTGGCCCCTTCAGGTCTGAGCAGGAGGGAAGACTTCGTTTCAAGACGTTTGTGGTTAGATTTCCATCAGAGGAGGAAATCCTCATCTTCATTGATCACAGCTTCTCAGTCATGCCTTCCCAATGTATGACTCGTCTCTACAGCAATGCTTTAAAAAAAAAATAGCCTAATATAAACTTTTTATTTTTTAGTTTAGGTTGTGTTCTCCCCAGCCTTATGGCTGCTGCGCTGCTGTGAAAGGTAACAATGCTAGTATGTGCATCGTGGCATGCCTTTTCTTATCGGTACATGCATACAAGTTTGTAACTTTTCACTCAGTCACACCAACATCATTTGCAGTTAACTACTCAAATAACAAAACTAAATATTTAGTTAAGAACAGGTTTAAAGGAAGTTGGAACCGATAACCATCAGGATGCAGCTGGAGACTTTATTCACATCTTACCATGACTAACTCGAATGCCTCTAGGTTCTTTTGACTCGATTTGAAAAGCTTTTTCCGGAAAAGCGACTATTACACCACACCCATGTC